TAATTTTCTCGATTTCTCATCAAACTGAACCCATTTCTCTGCGCTTGATGGGTCAAACTTTGCTGATAAAAGTAGTTTATCAGTGTCTTCACCATTAGGCGATACTATGTAAGAAGGATTGATAGGAATTGTATGTTGAAAGCGAACGCCTATATAGGTTTGAATGTCAGGAAAAGGTCGAACTATAATGGGAGCAGGTTTGTTGTTTGACATCGTGGAATTGGTTTCTCCTGTAAAAGGTAAATATTGGAAAAATTCAGCTACGTTTGGGAAGAGAGATCCATCTGGCGACATGTCATTCATTAACTTTGGTTGATTTATTCTGTTCAAAAATTCCATCATCCCCTAATATATTAATAGGCACTTTCATTAAAATCATGCAACATGTGTACATTAATATGATTGATGATGATAAATGCTACGACGACGAAAATCTGATATTTTTTATTGTGTGATGGTATTTTAATCATTATATCAAAAGTCGCGTATTTTACGGATTCGACCACGTGACAAACCAAACATTTTTGAGAAATATTCTAATGTGATAATTCTAAAGGCTTAACACTGATAATATCTTAGTATATTGTATTAATAATATTCAATCACAATTATTAACAAAAAAGAATATTTTATTAAAATTTGTTATTATTAGTAGTTTTGTTAGAATATAGATTTATTTTCAAAATATTGTTTATGCACTCCTTTTTGTTCTCTTCTATCCAATACTCTCTTGTTTTTTATAGATTCAACATCTTAATCCTTACAAAAAACTTAATCCAATTTACAATTTATTTTCCAAAATAAATGACGATTGCAAGTACGTGTCGATCTTCGATTCGTGAACACACGTAATACGAATACCTGTAAGAAATCAGTCACCTCGCGCCTTTGTTAGATGCCACCATCCTGATACCAGGACTAGACGTTGTCATCGTAAAAGGGGTTCTTGTTTGTGTGAAAGATGCTATTAAAGGAATGAACCAAACACAACGTTTTAGATGAAATTATTATGATAATAAATGAAGCGGCTATATTACTTTTTTGTCGTAAAGTATTATTCATGTCGTTTCCGTCAACCACCCTTCTGCCACCATCTAAGGTGGAATTAAAAGAAATGGGTTCTCTCACGGACGAATAATCTTGTAGTGAGATTTGATGCTGTGTTCTATTAATTTCGTGATATGTATCACGGGTATTTTCTTAAAGACCATCAAGACGATCACTATTATGATCAAATATAATTAAAATGGTGACTATTTCATTATTTACCACCGCCTGCGCTCCATGATGGTTGGTTGATGGTTGTTCTATTCGACACTAAATTGTCTCCGTATAAACGTTGTATTCCAGTTTGCTGTAAATGAGGCATGTTCTATTAAAGATAATAGTTGTTCTTAATAAACAATTAAATATATCAATTCCACTTTTCTCGGTCAATTAATTATTCTTACCACATTTCCACCACCAGTAATAACATTACTGGTAGTATTGTGCACGAGTGATCGACGCTTCAGTTTATCATACATGGCCTACAACGAAACACTTCAATTTTTCATGAAGGGAATGATAGAAAATCACAATCATTATCTGACCTGCAGTTTTGAAAACTGCCTTCCTTTCTCCTGTAACTGTTCTGCTAAATCATGAGTTTTTCGCTTTTCAAGTTCCATATCCTTTGTTAATGCTAAATGAACAATTCATTTAGAAACATGCAGTTACAATATCAATACCCCTAACATTCTATACTTTACCTTGGACTTTTGTTCTCAACGCTTTGTTTATTTTGTTAGCGAATAATTTGGAGGTTAACCATAAATCTTTGTGTTATTAGAAAGCATTAAATAAACTCACTCGTGATTTCAGCCTGAGCCTCCCTCATTACTCCTTGTATTTGCTTTTCCAGTTGTGCATACTTATCTTCCAGACTCTTGTACATCATCTCTTGAAAGCATGATTCTTGCGTTGTTTGATATGTCCAAAATGATAAGGCCCGCGAACAAATTTCCATTATAATTTCCGGTCGTAAACCTGAAAGAACAGACTGAAGGACAACCGTTTGTAAAATGCAAACGTTGCACTGCATTGCCCAGGAAGAATGATAGTTTACCGATTTATAGTCCTCGCTTGGGTTCAAATCAGTAAACACAATATCATCACTAATAAGTGAAGAAAAAAATGATCATTGGTAAAAATATTAATTTACATTGAATACAAACGATATAATAATAATAATAAAAGCCATTTCTCGATTTTTCACATCACAAACATGAAACGAACTTTTCTGTTAGACTTGTTTCACAAGCTGGACAAACCAAGGCCGACGAAAATGCATTGTTAGCGCAGTTCACTAAAATATACAAGATGCAAGTTATCATTAAGCATATCAGCTAAAATGCAGACTTAGGTAAACTGAATATACCGCAAAAAATATCTAGAAAAAAAAGAATGTTGAGAATTTTAATAAATCGTTACAAAGTAAACAAAGTAATAAAGCAAGTGTTCCCCTTACGAGAACAGGTCGTCACACAAGCACGCCCCTCAGCATTTAAAACTTTTCGGCACTGCACGATATTGCATCTTACATCCGCCTCCATATTGGTTTTTTGGTGTAAAAGAAAGAAGGAAACAAAAATTCTGAGTCACAACTAATTGATTTATTCGCTTCTTGATAATTGCGTAATTCGTGTCATAATCAAATTAAAACTCAACTTACACGTCATGCAAGACCGCGTTCTACTTACAATTTTCATGTTTCGCGTTTCAATAAAGTCAATACGCGTCATTCGCTTTGTCATATGATTTTATGTAGTCAGTTAACCCAGATAACCCTTACGTAATTTTATTTTATTAATTACTTCTTTTGCAAGCATTTAAGCTAGCATTTTTTTGAATGAATATATGGCAAATATTCTTGCCAAATTCAGCTAGATTATTATATATTTGATACAAATGTTTGCATTTTTCGTAAACTCACTAAATGTTATTCGTGTAACCCGATGCGAAGGTTAAGTTTAAGTTACAGCAATAGAATGCAAATTCAAACTAAGCAAGATTAAGAAAAGATCGTGCAAATTAATACGTATGCAGGATTTGATTAACGCGCGCATTTTATTTAAATCTAACTTACAACCTTCCTATTTAAATGAAATGAAGAGCATTAAGATGGAGCACCAAAAATTTTAAATTGCAGGGCGTACTATATGCATGTAATTATTTATCAATAAAATTTGTTGCAAGTCATGATCCGCCCATTATAAACAGTAATTTTTTAAAAGAGATAAGAGAAAAAAAGAAATTTATGATATTTTAATTGAAATAATAATTTTATTTGTTTTTAAAAAAATTTAAATAATATGCTGTACGTAAATGTGAATCAAAATAAAAATTATTGATTTTATTTTTTAATATGATTTATATACAATATATATATATATACTGTATAATATTTATTTTATTAATTTTGGTTTTTCAACAATTAATTATTATTTTTTAAACTATCAATAACATTAATTTAATTTAATTTTTTTAATTTTATCAACAATTAAGTTTTTTATGTTATTTTATCACTATCATTAATTTAGAAATATAATAAAAAATATATACGTATTTATTATTAAATATTTTTATTTATTTATTTATTTTAAAAATTTTTGTTATATGTAATTTTATAAAAAAAAATTGCAAAAAATTTATTTTATATTCAAAATATAATCTTTTAACTTTATATATTGTTTTTTTAATTTAATGTATTGCAACTAAATGAATAAATACATGCTATTAATAATTTATTTTGATTTTTTTTTATAATTTCATTCAACTTTTCTTGTTTATAAAATTTTTTATAAAAATTATTAACTAAAGTTAATATTAAATTAAAGTCAATTTTTATTAAAATATAAATCTTTGATTATTTTAAATTAAATTTTATATTTGTAAAAATAATATTTTTATTTAATGTAAAATAATATTTTTTATTAATTTATTGATTTAAATGTTTATAATATTATTCTTTTTATTTAATAATATATTTTTAATTTAAAAAATATTTTAAAAAATATTTAAATTAATTTTATAACAATTATTGTATTAAATCAAATATTAATTTTATAAATACAGACAATAATAATTGAAAAAAAAATTTTTAAATCAAAAAATAATTATTATATTCAAGAAAAAAATTTTAAAATATTAATATATGGATTTAAATATTTTAATTTGTTTTTTAAATAATTAACAGTATTGTATACTATTAACTTTGTAAATTAAAGGTTTTAACAATATTAAATAATTTAATTTTACATAAATAAGCATCAACAATATAATATTTCATTTTTAATATGATTTTTACAAGGTTTTATATTATAAATTAAAAAAAAATATATTTTTAATTATAAAAATAATTAAACAATATATTATATTTAAATAATAATCGAAAAATTCTTTTTCAAATCATTATTATGTAACCAATTTTTTAAGGGAAAATTAAAAAATATTTAAAAAATTATATTAATAAGTAATATTTATATGTAACAAAAATATATAAGACAATGCTAACAAAAAAAAATATTAACAAAAAGTAAAAGTGCAAAAAACATTTAATGCAAAAGTAGGAAATTTTTTTCTTGTTTTATTTATTTATTTATTATACATTGTTTTTAAGAAATTTAATTATTTCATATGTAATTAAATATTTGAAACCAATAAATTATTATACATTAATTTGATTTTGAAAGAGTAAAACCTTTTATATTATATTTTATTATTGCAAGTAATATATAACCTTTGCTAAAAAAATTTTCAGTATTTCGTTAACATCAATAATTTTATTTTTCGTAACTTGAGAGCCATTCGTGAATTTCTTTAATAATTTTGGACAAATAAAATGATGTCAAAGTTACCGTTATTGACTTTGCATGAATTAGAATTGTTTATCAATATTTTGATGCGCCAAGATAATTAGTATTTCGGATTCATTGCAAACTGGTCTCAAGAATGAGAACACAATAAATGATTAAATGAAATTGACGTGAAAAGTATATGGAAGAAATGTAAAAACTTATAAAACAACATCGAAAAAAGGGAACTTCTAAAGAATATCGAACTAATTGAAAAAGACTGCAAAATTTGGAAAGAGAACAAATAATTATCTCTGGCTATGAAGTGCTTGTCTAAAAACTTAAATTATAAAGTCGATCAAGCGATAGATATCTGGATGTCAATAATTGTATGTCGAAAAGATAGAGAAACTCGGTAACTCGCTATAAGAAAAACAGCACAGAGAATCATATGGAAAGAGTGAGGAATCCTAAAAATTGTGTTGGCAAGACTACTCGTCGAATATTACGAGGAGAAACACAAACGTAATATTTGCCAATAAATCTTGTACGTAATAAAACATACCGAATATAATTTAAACAGGTATCAAAAGATAATTGGTTTAATATCGACATATAGAAATGAATACATTGACAAATGATGAAAGAGACGCGCACCAAATGATCGGAACCTCTAGAAGAGCAAATAAAATACAGGCACACGACAAGAGACGGAGACATAAGAACAGATCACTGATTGTCGATCCAAAAATTTTTTTCGACTCCTCGTTCATTTTGCGATGATCCGAAACCTTATATCGCCCAATCTATCTCCACGAACTATTCATCGCATCTTTGTCTTCCAGAATGGGTTGTTCTCTTTTTCACGTAGAGATAATGCCTTTCGTGGATTTTCGTCGACGTCATTTGCATGTAAAAAGAATAAGGTTTCAGATAATGTCAGTGACCAAAATAAAGCGTATAGCGGAACTTTATTATTACCGAAGACGAATTTTCCGATTCGGGCCGATGCAGCAAATCGAGAACATTTATTTCGCGATAGATGTACCAAAGAATTGTACTTCTGGCAAGTAAGTTCTTTTTAATAATTTAAAAGTATTGACTAAAGTTCATAATTATGTTAATCATAAATACTTTTTAAACATCAAGTTAGAGAATAATCCAAAAGATTTATTCATATTGCATGATGGTCCACCATATGCTAATGGGCATTTACACATTGGTATCTAAAGAATTTCATCAAATCTACTGAAAGATCAAATTTCTCATATACCATTCTACTAGGACATGCGCTGAATAAGATTTTAAAAGACATAATAAATCGTTATAAGGTGTTGCAAGGACATAAAGTCAGGTATGTTTCTTTCACTCTCAATTGCCATTAACATAATTATTATAATTACAAAATTACTTTAGTTATGTCCCAGGATGGGATTGTCATGGATTACCAATTGAATTAAAAGCTTTATCGGAACTTCGGGTATTTCATCAAGAAGACTTTGTTTAATGGAATGATTTTTATGTGATTAAGTCAATCAACTTTTTTCTTTAAAAAAAAAAAAGAGTGCCGAGAAATTAAAAATGACTCCAATGCAAATTAGAACTACAGCAAGAAAATGCGCATTAGAGACAATCGAGTTACAGAAATTGGACTTCATGAGTTGGGGAATAATGGGTGATTGGGAAAATCCTTATAGAACTCTTGGTAAAAAAACATTTTAGTATATTTTGTTTGCTATATCGTTGTTATTCAGCTCATAATAATTTGTGATAAGACAAAGAATATGAAATCAGACAGTTGAAAGTTTTTCATGAAATGATGAAGAAAGGTACGGAAAAATCTGACTTTACGGTGATAATGTTGAATGAGATTAATCGTTAATTTCTTCAATTTTTTTATTAAATAAGGGTACATTTACAGACAAAATAAACCCGTATATTGGTCACCATCATCAAGGCAAGAAATTTTACTTTTCATTTCATATTATTTTCAATGGAAATATCAATTCACTTAATTTTGTTATAGAACAGCATTGGCTGAGGCAGAATTGGAATATATGGAATATCAGTCTCGGTCCGTATATGTAAAGCTCCCTATCATCGAGTTTCGTAAGTGTTTTCAAAGACTTTTCTCCGTGATCTGGCATATTATCTTCACAATTTAATATGTACTACTTATCCACCGACAGCAAAGGATTTAGAAGAATTTCCCCCCAAAAATGTTTATGCATTAATATGGACCACGACTCCTTGGTCTCTTCCAGCAAACCAGGTATGCTTGAATATTCTCATCTTAGTCAATGATGTTAAGGTTTTTCACATTCATTTTTATCATCTTTTTTAAAAGGCAATAGCAGTCAATTCAGAATTAGATTACTCTGTTGTTAGTCCTCTTTCAGCTAATGATAACAACACAGATAGTTACCTAATTGCAAATGAAAGGTTGGAATCGTTACAAAATATTATAGGTACAGAGCTGACTATTAAGTCTACTTTTACAGGTATTGACGAAAATATTTGATTTATTAATGGATTTTTTCGTAATACACCAAGTGAATTGAGTGAATCTCTTTTCTTTTAGGACAGAAACTTGTCGGGACCAGCTATACCCATCCAATTACAGGAATGAGGTGTAACATTATTGGTGCGTCATTTGTGACCGACAAATCCGGAACTGGTAGTTACATATTAGTTACAATAATTGTGCTGCACTTTAATTTTTGTTGCACATCACTAATTAAAATTATGATGGAATATAGGACTAGTACATTTGGCATCTGGACATGGATCAGATGATTATGAAGCATGTAGAGAATCAAATATACCAATATTTAGTCCTGTTGATGATTCGGGGAGGTTTACTAGTGATGTTGGTGAACCCTCTTTTGAAGGAAAGAATGTACTCACTGATGGTACAACAGCTGTAATTGATTTTTTGAGAGATAAAAGCATTTTAGTTAAAGAATCAAAATTTACTCATAAGTATCCTCATGATTGGAGAACAAAGAAGCCAATAATTACCAGGTCCGTATTGCATGTGTATTTATTTATTTGTTTGTTTATTTTTTCTTTCTGTGGGTCTACTTTTAAAACTGTAACCGTTAAATACCCAGAGCTGCGCCTCAATGGTTTGCTAATGTAGAGGCTTTTAAGAGAAGAACCCTTGAAACACTTATTGATATCAAAACAATTCCTTATAATGGTGGCTGTTGTCTGAACTGTTTTCTTTTGCAGCTTAATTAAATATCACAATATGTACTAATAAAATAACAAATTTCTATTCTAAGCACGAAGCGTATTGAGTCAGTACATTCTATCAAGAAACGAGTGGTGCATATCACGCCAACGATCTTGGGGTGTTCCGATACCCGTCTTATATAATGTAGAAACGGATGAGCCACTTTTCACAGTATCTTCTATTGCCTATATCATTGAAATTTTTAAAGAACGTGGCACGAACGCATGGTGGGAGTTAGAAGAAAAGGAATTAGTGGCTCCTGAGTTTAGAAATAATGGTAAATTTATATAAGTACGTGAATAAGCAGTAATTAATGATTTGTTATATACACATTTTGATTAGGTGTAGAATATAAACGTGGGATGGATACATTGGATGTTTGGTTTGATAGTGGAGTCTCTTGGACTTTTATTTTAGAAAAATATAAAAGGTAATTTTTGAACACGGAGGATTCTATTTTACAAACAAATCTAACCGTATGGATGATAACATAGACAGGATCCCCATTCCATTTCCGATTTGTATCTAGAAGGAACTGATCAAAATCGCGGATGGTTCCAATCTTCTTTATTGACCTCTGGTAAGTAAATTTAGTATAAGGCTTTTTGTCATTGATAGGTTCTGATATTTTGATTAATCGTTAACTTGTTTGAAGTCGCTGTAAACAACAAGGCACCATATTCTACAGTTGTTACTCATGGATTTGTGCTTGATGAGAAAGGTCGTAAAATGTCAAAATCACTGGGAAACATTGTCACTCCGGATACCATTATCAAAGGTGGAAAGGTCCGAGGAATTTGTATCTCTTAACATTTATTTGCTTATCATCTAAATAATAAACTTGTTATTTTTTTCACATTATTACTCAGAACAAGAAAGAAGAACCAGCATATGGTGCTGATGTATTAAGACTTTGGGCTGCATCATCGGAATATGTTAAGGATATAAATATTGGAAGCACTGTTATGAGTTAGTAAGATTAAATATTGATTTCGGCCGCGATTGTAAACATGAAATGAGGCTAAACTATTTATTAATCAGATCACGTAGCTGAATCGATGAGAAGATATAGGAATACTGCGAGATTCATGCTAGGGAATTTAAATAACTTTAATTATAATCAGTTGATGAAATACGAGGATCTCAAATCGGTATATATTGATTTAAATTGTTCAAGTGAGTTTCAATTATGATGGAATCATTATTTACCTTATTACCTATTTATAATATATGTATCCATTATATATAGATCGACAGATATGCTTTGTATGAACTTTATCATTTTGGGAAGGCCGTTAACTCTGGCTATGAAGATTTTGCATTTAACAAAGGTTCGAAGTAGATTTATTTTTATTTGTCAAGTTCCTTAATTTTCTTAATGACTTTATTACTCATTTGAACAGTTGTCCAAACACTGAATAACTTCTCGAGCGTGACACTGTCTGCGTTCTATTTTGACATAGTGAAGGATCGACTATATGCTGATCATGTAGAGAGTTTGAGTAGGAGAAGTGTCCAATCGGTTCTATATCATGTAGGTTAATTTTTCTCTATTCTGGATGGCATACTTGATTCGCGTTATTTATTTTTCGGTGTTTTCAATTATAAAGATTCTAAACATGTATACAAGGTCGATTGCTCCAATAGTCCCACACCTTGCAGAAGAGATATACGAAAATTACAAGATCGTTGAGCCAGAAAAACATGATAGTGTATTTAAACTAGGGTGGTATGATCTAGTATGTCAC